CCATTACACATCACCATAGCAACCAAACAAATGTGGGCAAAACAAGCCCACATCAAGCCCAATGCTTGACAGGTGGTATAATGGTGTTATTGCTGATGTGTCTGGTTTTTGCCAAATGTGGCACTGTGTATTATGGCAGAACTTCTCCCCTTTTGTTTTCATCGGACCAAAGGACATTGCTACGCATTTACCAATAGAAATGGAAAAGTTCTTAATGCTTAACACGCAAAACCACTGTGAGATTTTGACAAGTGAGCAACATCCAATTTTGCTCTTGCAACCATGTTAAACTCATTCTAATACAACAGGTTTGTGTTTGTTGCCTGCAGTCTGCATCATTTTAAAGACTTTTGTTCAAATTTCCTAAAGAAAAACACATCCATTCATTTGTTTGTACACATAGTTAGAGGCACTTTTAAATGTAATCATAAAGTACAAACAAATCCAGGTACAAGTATATTTATAAACACCAGGTTTATTTATGATTTATGGACAGTTTTGTGCGAACACACATGAGTAAATAAGTTTTATTGCTCCATGTTTGTTTTAAACAGAAGAGCTTTTCTACTGATAATCTTTCCAAAGAAGTCATACTCAGGGGAGATGGAGCTTTCTTTAATTTAGTGGTGATAGACTGCATTCTCTTTCTCTTTTAAAGCCCAACCTACTGCTGCGCTTTTTATTTTTCACTCTTCCCCTTGCTCCATCCCGAGGCCATGAAAATGGCTGCTTGTAGATGGGGAATTGCAAGACATTTTGAGTGTTGTGGATACGACACTACAGAAAGCCACAGGCTCAGCAGGGGTTGGCATTCATGATGGTCTTGGCATCTGTCGTATTTGTCTGTTTTTTTTAGTTTGTTGTGTGATGACTTCTGACAACCCTGCCAAAACCCAGTCTGCCAGTTTGCAAAAAACTTTTATTTTTCTTTAGTTTCTAACTAACTTTTTTAATATCTAATTTAAATATTTGCAGTTGAGTGTATTTGTTTGTCTGACAGCTGTTTTATTTTGCTGTGTCCATGACAATTAGGCCACTGTTAACCTACACAGTTTTATGTTTTGATTTCCTGTGTTTAGCACATTTAGTTTAACTATGATGAAATCTACTACAGTGGACCCTCGTTTATCACGAGTGTTACGTTCCAACCTGCGATAGGTGAAATCCGCGAAGTAGCCACCTTTGTTTTTTACAATTATTATAGATGTTTTAAGGCTGTTAAACCCCTCACTACATACTTTATACACTTTTCTCAGACAGGCGTGAACATTTTCACACTTTTCTCTCTTGTTTAAACACTCTCAAAGCTCAAACCTTTGTAGAAAAATAAGTAAAGTGTTATAGAATGAAACCAAAGATCAAACCCTGTTTTCAGGTCCAGAACATGGGAATAGAGCAGCTGCCTGAGAATTCAGCATTAATGAATTATCTGACTGTTTTGTTTAGCTTAATGTGCCTTATAATGTGGTGTGCCTTATGGTCCGAAAAATACGGTAACTTGTACATTCCTTTAGCATATCCAGAAGTCCAACTTTTTTTGCGATATTAGCATCTTCTTCTGCCTTTTGGGTGCTACCGCAGCTGCCTTTGACGGTGCAAAACGTTTTGTCAACATTGTTGTTTGTTGGAGAGAAAACTTACAAACATACAGTGCAGCACTTCAGAGTCACACTGCTAGCAATCGAAGATTGATGTAAATTTGACAAGCTGAACGCATTCTGTACAGTACAGGAGACATGGAACAAGATTGATTGACGATGGTCTACAGCCAATCAGTGAGCCTGTCTATAAAAGCAGAGGTTTTCAGTAGCTTGCTGTCCATTAGTTTGGGAAGGGTTGGAAGTGCATTTCCAAACAATGTGAACTCCTTTTTCTTTCTACAGTGAAAAAGATTATTCACATGGGAAAAACATTCAAGACAGCTGCCACGCTTCCCAGTGAACATCACAGTAAATTCAATGCTCAGTTTCCCTCAAAGAAAAGACATGACATTTTAGAATCTACAGACCTCAGGTGAGCATGTTCAATGTTAAATGTCATGACAGCACTATTAGAAAAAGATTGAACAAATGTGGCTTGCTTGGAAACGTTGCCAGGAGAAACATCTCTCAAAAAGAAAAGAACACCTGAGCACACATTAATTTGGCAGAATTGCAAACTCAAGGCCATTGCATCAACCATGAACTCCTCTGTATCCAAAGGTTTTCTATAGTCCACTATAAGGTCATCTGTTAACTACTAGAGCTTGGTCACAGTTGGGTTCTGCAACAGAACGGTGATCCCAAGCACAGCAGCATATCTACAAGAGAACAGCTGAAAGAGAAAAGAATCAAGGTCCCAGTCAAAGTCCAGTCCTCAACCTTAAGAGAGCGGTTAAGAAATGAACGCCTGCACAGAGTGGGCCTAAATTCCTCCACAATAATGTGAGAGACTGATAATTATTATTTTAAGTTATTAATTGGTGGTTTTATAAGTTATTGAATGATGCAGTGTGTGTAGTTTTGCACATGCTGCTTCTGCATTTTGGCTTTGAGCATAAATAATGACACAGTATAAAATCTCATGTGTAATTGTTCATCTGAGGTTGTATTTACCTCATTCCAGCACACTGTAGGGATCAGAGTTTATTTCATTAGAACTGAAAGACATAGTCTTTTCTTTTTGCCTGTATAGATGTACTTCAAATAAACTAATGATAATTTAATTGTCATTTTTGGGTTGATGAGGCCAATTTCTCCTGTCAATGTGTGTGCTTCTTTCTTCGTACATGGCTCGTAAACCTCAGCGATAGCAAAGCACACGCAAAAAGAAAAAACATAAATTAGCCTTCCATAATGTGGAACGCCTCTTACCTCAGACCCGCTGCCTCTCATGATGTGTTCAGGAATGTCGTAAATCTGACTTTCCATCTCCACTTTTTGCTCGCCGTTACCCATGACTTTGACCAGAAGCACTCGGAAGTTTGAACCACCAAGGTCGAGGGCCAGGAATTCTCCTTGTTCTTTTCAACAAAAGAATAAGAGTTACATATAGCACAACACTCACAATATATACTCACAACATATATATATATATATTTATACATATACATATATACTGGTGGCTGCCAGTGTTACTCCTCTTTCCTCACCCTTGTAGTAGATACTCTCATGGTTAAATAAGGATAAATAGGATACATCTGAACATGCTAGGTGACTTCCTTCTTAAGTTATGTGTTTATGATTAGATAAAAACCTGTTACACTGATTTACCCCCTGAAGAATGAATGAAAGTTTTTGGTTTGAGATGAGAACATCTTGCCTCAAGACAAAAGCCCCTTTTTCAAGGAACACATTTTAACTGGTCATTTACACCAACTCTTTACAGTCTCATATGAACAGTAGAGCAGGGCAATATGACCAAAAATATTTATCACGATATACATTTGAAAATTTGCGATAACGATATAACTGACAATATAATTGACACTAGACAAAATACTTTACAACTCCACAACTTTATTAGTGCAAAAAACCCATCAATGTATTTTCACTTAAACAGGCAGCTGTCTTTTTATGTGCATTAAAGTTATATAAAAATGTAACAGTGCAAATGCAAATTCCT